ATTAGAGTTTTTCATTTATATTCAAATATAAAATATTTATAGCAGTTTCAATAGAAAGATAGTTGTTAACTTCAAACATAAAAGAACATTAACGAATATTGCTTTTCCAAAATCTTAAATATTGTATTGGTGTTCAATTAAAAACAATTCGTCTTGAATATACCTATTTTAAGATTGAAGGATAAAATCAGTAATAGGATTGCTAGTTCAAAATGTAAAGGAAGAAGTTATAGATATAGTCCAGGGAGATAACTCATTCAAATGGCCTTTTTAACCACTATTTTTGGAGAACGAGAGTTTATTAAATATACAGGACGAAACAATAAATTATTTCTGTTACAGTAAGTACTAACCCTCACGTCAATATTTTAAATATCACTTTGTATCAAGGGCAGTTTCTCCATTGGTTCATTTGTGCAGTGAACACCCAATTCAATTTCATAAAAACACATTATTTTAATATTACATAAATAACATAAAAATATAAATTTAAGTTTAATATTTTTATTTTCATACGTGTTAATCTATATTTTTTTGTACTTCATTGTCCTCTGGCTGATTGCATCTCTGAAGTATACCGTGTCTGTGGCGCATTATGATAAGTGAGCCTAACACGAGTGAGACGATATGCCGAATGCATATAGCTAAAAAGAGAAGACAACACGCCAACAGATCCTTCAAACTGTCAAAGAACATATTAATTGGCGCGCCGCTCACAAACAAGGTTGCCAAACCAGTGTTGCCAGTCTAGTACAATTCACACTTTCGTTTGATCTGTCTACAGGCACAGCATAATTTTGTAAATAACCATATGAATAGAGTAAGGGTTATATTTTAATAATTTATCGTTCCATTTTATTTTGCATAATTATTATACAGATATTATTGTATGTTTAACTTTACCCCAGGATAATTTTAGTTTAGGGTAAAAGTAAACTACATCACTTTTATTTTGAATGCCTTGAAAATAGGTCAAAAAGACAAATAAGGAGAACCTAAATAATGCTTTCAACGATGTTGCTAATAGAAATAAAGACATCCTTTAAAAATTTGGGTATTAAATCTTGAGAAAAAGAAATTACGAAGGCATGATTGATTCCACTGTTCCGAAAAAAGTTATAATTCCAAGATTAAGGCAAGAAAATATGGAAAAGTGTTAACAACAGAAGAAGTATTTAATGGATTAATAGAAGCACAAGGAAAAGTTAAATTAAAGTAAAAAACCGAACAAAAAGATATTGTCGATCCAGCAACTTCAAAACTGAAAAATGGATCCAATGAATTTAGATAGGCAAGAGACTTTAGGATAGCCAAAAAGGGTAAATGATAAAATTAAAAATAACAAAGAAAAAAATGGTGAGTTTAAACATTTTTCAAGCGATGAAGATTATTCTTCTTTTAAAAATAGTGATTCAGAGCGCGCTTGGGAAGAATCCTTCAATGACGAAAAAGAAGTAGATATCATCAAGTTCACTAAATCTAAACAAAGAAATGGTGATTTTGTATTTGTACAATTTAAACGAGGTAAGAAAATATGGCTATACATAAATATACATATTCTGGAAACCTTTCCCAAAATTAAAGTGAAAGGCCAGAGAATATTTTACCATTTCTCAAAAAAAAATCTTGTCTTAGTTTTATATTGTTTCATGTTCTATCATGGAATTTTCTTTAGTTTTTTTAATAATATAGGTAACTTAATCAAAGTTAACACCAAGCATAATTTTAAAGTTTTGTTTAAATATGTATATGTATTATTGTATAAATAGTTTGAGTAAATATAAACATGGTTTAAATTACTTTAAAAATTATGTAAATGTTCTTAATATGGAAGGTCTACAAATACCCCTTGACAAAATACATTACTGTTTTCCATTTTAATAATACTTGTTGTAACCTACCGCAATCAGGTACCTTAATAATTGATTATTTTCATTTATTTAATATAATATTGCATTCTTATTAAATTAAAAACACTTAATGCAACTTATCTTAAGTGCGTTTGAATAGTAACGTTGTGTTCGATACACAAAATTTTGTAGGCAAGTAATAAATCTGCCACCCCCCTTTTCCAACCCAAAATTCGTTTCCGAACCGGGAACTAAGACACTGACGTCACAAAAAGCCATTAAAACTAGTATAAGAACCCGGACACAAATGAGTTCGCAAGGCATTCATTTTCATTATCTGTATTATATTTCAAGTTCAGTAGTCAGTACCTTTTCTAAAACGCTCTTTCTGAAACAACGTCTATTCTACAATATCTCCTATCCCCCAAACGCTGTCATGGACTCACGCCTTATTTTCCAACGCTTGCCGTTCCTAAATATTTCCTTCATAATATCCTTGTCGACACCCTTTATCACGTCCCGCAGTACCGTATTAAATACCTTCCTCTCCACCACGACGCTAGGCGAATCGACGCAAGGAAACGCTAACGCTGCGACGTACCTGAATGGACGCCGTCACAACGCTAGATGAAATTAGTACATAATCTAATGTCTGTATTTTCAATACTAAGAAATATACAGGGTTGTATTGAGTTATTTCAATAGAAATTATAAAAATCAATGTTAAGAAAAATATAGGGTCGTAATAAATCATTTCAATAGAAAGTACGAAAATCAATATTGTAGAAATATACAGGGATTTGTTATCTTGAATAAATTATACAAACCAAGATGGTAAAATTTAATAGTGGTGAATACACTGTTAGCTCAAGGAGGGACACCTATGCGCTAAACCACCCATTATAGAAGGTTTGAAACAAAGTTCGTTACTTCCGTTGATCATCACCTATTTACTCATCAAAATATTTACTTAAGAGGGTGCAACCTGTGTATATCTAGAAAAGAATCAAATCCAAATCAACACAGTAGTTAACCAACTGGCGAATTGGCGCTATTCGTTAACTCCGTTGGTCATCAACCTAAATAAGAATATAAATATCAACACAGTAGTTATCCAACTGGCGAATTGACGCTGTTCATTAACTCCGTTGATAATCAACCTAAATAACATATATTTTGGTAGCAAATAAACGTGGTCTGCGTTTGAACGGGACTCAATTGAGATCTCAGTAAATAGTACAAATTAATTGTAATATACTTTGCTAATTATTGCATCACATTTATTTTAATTAACATTATCACAACGTGGGTATATAAATTATCAATTACTTAACTAGACGATCACTTTTATTACTAGAGGAAAAAGGCCAAATACAGTAAGTATAAACTAAAATAAAATAAACTTGTGAGGTAAATCATAATATTTCAGAGAGTAAAATAACGATCAAAGGGGTACTGGGGGTGGGCCGTTACATTGTTTACAATTACCCCAAGATAACAGGGCTAAATGTAAATATTGACAGATCATATTTCACATTTTTTAAACCAATTTCTGTATTCTTTTAACAGTAAAATTCAGTAATTTGATCAAATATGAGATCGCATAAAAAATTCTAAACTTTATATCCATTTATGGAAAGATATGGCAATTAAATAAAAATTAAATAAATCCAGAACATGAAATTCTAACTCAAAAACAAAAATGATGTCGACATGAAATTTTTATCAAAAATCAAGCTCTATAACGGGACGATGCATAGAGATTTAAAAAAAATCTGCCTAAAAATAAGGGTTAAGGGGGGTTGAAATAAAAACAATCATAAATCAAAAACAAAAAGCAATATCAAAATAAAATTTTTAGTAAAAATCAAGCTCTATAGGATTATGAAGCTTACTGATACTGAAAAAAATCTGAATAAAAATGGGGGAGAGGTTAAGAGGGGTGAAAATGGTAAGAAATAAAAAAAAAAACATTATTTACTTGAAATTTTTATGAAAATCAAGTTATATAAGGGGAAGAAGCCTTTTAATTATGTAAAAAATTATTTAAAATGGGGGGTTAAGGGGGTCTGTTAAACTGAGAAGAGTATAATATAGAAGACCAAGTATTATATACAGTGTGTCGCATTTAAGATGAAGACACCCCTATATTTTGACTATCTAAATAAATACAGATTTGAAATTTTGCAGTCATACACATTTTTCAAGATACTCAACTGAAATTTAAATTTTAAATGCGGCCTACTACGAATCCACAAATAGGGTTATTTGTAAGGATTTCACAAGTGCAAAATTATTCCTATCCATGGCACACTAGTTTATCGAATAAACAAAATCAACTTTTAATAATTTTGTGTATTGACCAAAATAATGAAAAAACTAAAAATGCGAATTTTGTCATAAAATTTGGTATGTAGGGTTAGAATAATATTCGGAACAACTTTGTTCAAATAACGTTTTCTGATATCTCTAACGCGAAGAAAAATATCGAAAATTGACCAGATTTGTGGATTTGCAGGAGGCCGCGTTTAAAATTTAAATTTCAGTTGAGTATCTTAAAAAATGTGAACCGTCACCCTGTATGATTGTGCAAAACTTCAAATCTGTATTTATTTAAATAGACAAAATATAGGGGTGTCTTCATCTTAAATGCGACACACTGTACATATATCTTCATTCTAGATTTATTTATACAATTAGGAAAGTGCTTTCTTCCCTTTTTGCAATGTTGATAATACCCTTAGAATTTTTACAGAAAATGGGAGCAAATTAGGGTGCTTAAAGGATAAAATTACATAAAAATGATCTAATTTATATAATTTTTGTCTCCCATAAATCTAAATCCTTGCTTCGAGAAATAAAAAGAAAAATTGCTGACTTGACAAAATTGTACTCTAAAATCTCTGGCATTTTTGGGTAAATAGGTATTACTGGTACATGAAAAACCAGATAAAAAATAAATTTTTAACAATTTAAATTTTTTCCAAAATATTATAGTTAGCAACGTGTTATTTGTGATTGTGTCTCGAAAGGTTATTTTCGAAAAAAGCTTTAAAAGTATTGAAAGTTATAAGATCGAATGAAATGACTATCTAACCCTCAAGAACTAATAAAATAAAATAATAATTAATAAATTGAATAATTCCTTACCTTGATTTATAATTCTAGCCGTTCATGATATAATGGACACACACTCTTAACTCCCAAACAAAATAGGTTATTAAAATAATGTTTTAATCAAACTTAATAACCACATTGAGGATGCACTCCAATGGCAGGCATAAACACACATACATTATCCTATTTGAATGTTCACATTACGGCCTCTTCGACACGAATTTTCACTCAAGAATTAGTCAATAGATCCTATTTTTGTCGGAATACCGTGTATATTTCGAATTTTCCCACGTATGGAACTATAAACGCGACACTTTGTTTCCGCGTCAATAGCGATACTAAACAATATTATGTTGTTATTTGTTATGTGCAGTGGCGACAGAAAATGATATCAACCGCACAAGGTTTTCGTTAAAGATTTTAATTATAAACGTCCTGAACGTTTTGATATGTCTTTTATGTTGATCTGGTTGAGGAATGCATAAAAACGTAGTGACTACAAGAACGACAGTATTTTTTTTTTATTTTATATTTAAAGATCTTTAGGTATAAGATACAAGGGCGTCGCTAGGTTTTTTCTAATAAGGGCAATTGAACATGAAAATACAGAATATACAGGGTGTTATTGAAATACACGTACATATTAAAACTGGGTATTGCGCAGATCCCCATTGAATGTAGAAAAATATTATTTTTTAAAAATACCCCTTATTAAGGGAGTTATTAATTTTTGAAAATTAATTCTAAAACAAACGTACTTCACTGATATGTTGAGGATGACCTATATAAATTAGGTTTATTTACCTATTTTAAACATCAACAGTAATTAATATGCAAGTTTTTGTCAGATGATAAGAAAACTAGTCTTGTAAGAAATAACCATGTTGCCAAGATTTTCGAATTAATTTCTATTTCCGAAGACTGGTTTTTACTACCCTCGTTATCAAAAAACTAGAATATTTGATAAATGATTGTTTTTAAACTATACATTTTTGAAACTATAGATTATTAAAATTTTAGTTGATTTACGAATCTGGCTAACACGAGCGCGTCATTTCCAAGTTGGTAAAAAGTGTTGTTACGATTACTTTTAAATATTTTTTTACGATGCCACTATTTACGAATATTGAACTAACGGATATAGTGCTGGTTTATGGGGCAGCTGGAGAAAATTCTCGGCAAGCACAAATCCTGTATCGCGAACGGTTTCCAAATCGAAGAATTCCGGACTGTCGTACGTTTATTTCAACTGTTCAGCATCTAAGAGACCATGGAAAATTTGAGAGTGTCAATGCAGATCGAGGGAGAACAAGAACACAAAGAACATTGGCGGCCGAAGAAGAAATATTGGAAGCTGTTGAAAACCGGCCTCAATTAAGTTGTAGAAGACTAGGTCTTGAAATTGGAGTGTCCTCATTTGTTGTGTGGCGGACACTTAAAGAACAAGGTTTACATCCTTATCACATCCAAAAAGTCCAGGCCTTATATCCAGGTGATGAAGAAAAGAGAGTGGAGTTTTGTGAATGGATGATTCAAAAATATTATTGTATACTGACGAGGCTTCATTCACTCGTGATGGCGTGTTCAATATGCAGAATACGCATATTTGGAGTGATGAAAATCCTCACGCCATTAGGGAAACTGGGCATCAAAGAAAATTTTCAATAAATGTTTGGGCTGGCATAATAGATCAGTATTTAATCGGGCCTTATGTTCTCCCGAACAGATTAAATGGGCCAGGATATCTCCACTTTTTAGAAGATATTTTGCCAGTACTCCTAGAAGAGATACCGTTACAATTAAGGCAACGGATGTGGTACCTACTAGATGGCGCTCCTCCTCACTTTGATTTAAACGTACGGCAGTTTTTGAACATTAGATTTCCTCAAAAGTGGATAGGCAGAAATGGACCTACTAAGTGGCCTTCGAGATCTCCGGACTTAAATCCATGCGATTTCTTTTTGTGGGGTCACATGAAACAACTGGTTTATAATGAACCTATTAATAGTGTTGAACAATTAACCAATAAAGTTAATGCGGTAGCCGAGGAACTACGACAAAATCCAAGACTAATTTCTAATGTTCAAAGTTCTTTGGAAAGACGATTGCAAGTGTGTGTAAATAATAATGGACGGCATTTTGAACAATTACTGTAATAAACTTTATTTTGAATTAATTGGTTTTGCTACGGCAACAGTGCAATTTCTATGGGTAAGTTCAATTTCGATTTATTTTACTTCTTTAAATATGGAAACTAGTAGGTCGGAAAAGGGGACTCTTCCCCAATATTTAAATTTTAGAATTTGAAGTTAAAATTGGTGCCAATCGTTTTTGGTCATTACATACTATTCCCCATTTTAATATGTACGTGTATTTCAATAACACCCTGTATAGGATATCATACAGGGTGGACCACCGAAAACTTTCCACCCATATTTTTAAACGTTTGAGCCAAAAGTGAAAAGACATTTTATTTTAATTTTATTGTTATTATTACAAACAAATTAGGGCTGAGGAATAAATCCTATTAAGCACAAAATTACAAAGTTCAATAACAAGGACAATTATTAAATAAGTAATTAGCAAATAACATAATGCAAACAAAGCACTAAAAATCTTAGATTAAAGAAACCGAAGATAGAAAATGCCTATTACAAATAGCTGCGCAGAGGCTGCCAATTATTTTCAGTCGGAACTAGTAAGTGGGGGAACAACAGATACGTACTCAGGATAAATAACAGCAGTGATTGATTTTTTGAATTAATAGGAATAATAAAAGAACATTGGTACATCATTTTATTTATTTGTAAATTATAAATTCTGACAAAATTTATTTTCGATCTAAAATTTATTTACAGGATGGCCCAACGAAAACTTGACATTGGGGTTTTGGGCATTAATATCGTGGATCTTAAAAAACGCTCAGACACTCGATTTTAGTTTGAAAGAAGGCATCTTTTTACTGTCATACGTCATTACCCTCCACTCCGTTACTCCAATTAATGCAATTTATATGGGGAAAGTACCAAGTATGACATATCACTAAAAACGTAATTTTAAGGAGAATTTAGTAATATATGACTATTTATTGCTCTACTTTTGATTTTCTGCCAGGATAAAAACTGTTACCTATTGTAAAGTGTGGCACTTTATTTGAAAGCTAATTTTATTAGGAATTTAGTGCGTAGCGTAAATTTTTTTATTTTGGTTGATTGCAATAAAGTTTGTATTTCTTAACTTGTGAACTCTGTAATTATTTAAGTTCTTGTTTTAAATTATGTTTTGTTATATTGTGCATTAAATTATTATTAAAATTAAATGACACATTTTATAGTAGGTAACAGTTTTGTATACTACCAGAGGGCGCTAAAATCAAAAGTAACACATTGAATAGTCATATTACTGAATTCTCCTTAAAATTATCTTTTTAATGATGTGTCATACTTTTGGTACTTTCCTTAGTTAAATTGCATTGGTTAGAGTAACGGAGTAGAGGGCCATCACGTATGTCAGTTAAAGATATGATTAAAAGATGTCCCCCTTCAAACGCACAAAAAATAAAAATATCCAGTTTTTTAAATTTGGCAAGAAGGTAAAAAACGAAAATAAAAGAAGTTTTTCATTCAAAATTTGTCAATATTTTGAGAAAATTTAACTTATTGTATGTTTTTAAATATGTTAAAAGTTAATAGAAGTAGACGATCGAAAAAAATCGATTTTTTTTTGTTTTCGAAGTAAAACTGTCTATTTTTTTTTAGTCTTTTGCGTAAACTATTACAATTTTAGTCATTTATACAGTGGTTTAAAAATGTTAAATCTTTGAAATATCTAAATGATTCTTAGTGACATATAAAACAAAATCAAAATTTGTTTTTTTTTAATTGGTCGGTACCTACATATTCTTAGCCAAATAACTTACCTGTTTTTTAAGTACGGGTGAATTTTGATATGGTAATATTTCTACATTACTTTTTTCATTTACCACCTTATGTTGCAAGGTTGGTAAATTCTAGAAAAAATTATACAGTTTTAAGACACCAATAATGATAAATGTAATGTTAAAAATTGTTATTTCTACCTCAGTAGGTACAGCATTTCCCTTCAGATGAATTTTAAATGGTAATCTCTGTCCAAAGAATTATTAGTAAAATGCAAATGACAAATACGAGGATCTTTATGTATTTGATCTTCATATTGCAAGCCAAGAACCATGTCTCTCGCCTTTCTTTATTTGCTGGGAAACTAAAATAGATTATGTTTATTTCAGCGTTCAAAAAACATTTAAATAAACTTTTAAACTGATAATTTCAAACAATAATTTCAGAAATTTCAGTTATTACAATTTATTATCAACAGTCCTGGCTCCTGACCTGGCGTACCTCTCCTAGTTTCACTCGAAATAAACATGGCTACTTGTCATAACAAAATTAAATATTAAAAACTTACCTAAATAAGTGAACAGACTTCTTGTCTCTCAAATAATTTGCGCTTGCATGGTAATAACAGTCCCTTAATATACACCTTGGTATTTTTTGACCAAAATAAACTCACTTAACAACACAGTAAACAATATCTAGTAATTTCATGGACAACAGAAAAATGGCGATACACATGTTATCCGTCAGCAACTTGTTGTCAAAGACGGGTGGTGACGGGGGAAGAATTCACTTATTCACTTTAATTGGTGGAACTTGGTAGTGGGAATTGAGGGGGAAAAGAAAAGGGCAGTGTGCGCATTTGACCTTGTTACATCTTCGGTTTCTTTTAAGCTAAAAATAAACTTAGTTTTCCTTAAAAAAGTCATCGAGTTGGTTTTTGAATACATTTACTGACTGTGCGCGAACAACACTTGGTAAATTATTCCAAGTATAAAAAACTCTATTACAAAAAAGTTTTGTCGGGTACGTGTTTTAAAATTTTCTTTGCTTAACTTATACTCATGTCCACGTAGACGCTCATCTGTATTCCGTGGGAGTACTCTAGAGAGGTTGGATGAAAAAGTACAATGAAGAATTCTGTAAGTCACAATTAAATAACCTCTTAATCTTGTGTGGACAAATTAACACAAACTCGACATGTTAAACCGTTCTTTATACGATGGTTTAATTCTGCCGAAAGATATTCGAGTAGCGTAGCTTTGAACATTTTCCAATCTGTTTCGATCAAAAACCAGATCTGGACACCACACAGGTCCGACATATTCCATCAACGGTCTAACGTAAGTTGTATAAAGTTTAGAAAATGTTTGAAAGTTCACACGCGTAAAGGACTTTCTTACTAGGTAAACCATTGAGTTCGAACGTTTACATATCGCTGGTATGTACTCTAAC